GCTGAAAAGATTCTCATTGTGATTTGCATAAAAGTCCTCGGCTATTATGAATGTAAAACAGCTCGTTTGAAAATTTTATTTTCCTTCATATTGAAACAAAACAAAACTATCCAGTAGTTAATAGCTCTCTTCATTATGAAAGGTTGAATAAATGGTGGATTATGGACAAATCCAATTAAGCTGCAGTAATAGGCTGTATCTAATGCTGATCAAAACAAGTGGTGGAACAGATCCCTTTCTCTTCCTACAGATTCCTTGTTTCCTTCAAATCTCATCTAGAGCACATTTTGCGGCAACATAAAAGAATAGAGAAAGAGAAGAAGCCAATTTATGTGCTATAGTTCTTTTTTAAAACTTGTGTCATTAAGTAATTTTTTCTTAAGCTAGTTTTTGAGAGTATGGTTTTTATTCGATTTTAATAAAATTAGACATCTTAGGAATATAAATATTTACTTTTGCAGTTGCAAATAAATACATTTAGGGAACAGCTTTTAAGGCATATTGGGGAGGTGGCAAATATTGCTTGTCATATCTGTCAGTGTTGACTGCCTTTATAAAGCAACTAACATGAGTAGATTTGTGTTGCTTTTCTCTGTAAGATTTTGTTCTTTTGCAGGACTTATTTAGAAAATACCACATAAATGCACAGGTTATAGTTAGGTAAATTGTGTTCAACTTCTAACTTGCTAATGGGGGTGGAAGGGGAGGGTTATTTAGATGGTGAAGAGAGCTTTTCCAAATCTCTCTTATTACAAAACTAATTGTTGCTAGGAGGAATAAGATTAAAGATGCTTAAGTCTGTGGGGTTGTTTTTAATTTGTATGTGGCATTTTGAGAGATTGTTCTTATGTCTTCCCCTTCCCTATTTCTCCATGGTACTGTGCTCAAGTTAGGTCTGAGAAGCAAAGCTATTGGAAGAAATTTCATTTTGTTCCCTAATTATTATGCTGGCACTTGGAAGATAATTTTTCCCTTCATGCACTGCCAATTAATATGTAAATGAGCTGATAAATATTTATATCATGATTTAAATTATGCAGGGAGTGCTTTCAGTGTACTCTGCAAATGAATTGTTCATGGACTTCAAAGTGCTGGCTGCTGTGCTAACGAGGGGAGATTTGCATAAGGCCCTAATCAGGCGCATACTGATTAAGCTTCATTATGGAAACTGCCAGCTGCAATCTTTGTTTCTATTTTATTAAAAAAAAAGGGGGAACTTTTCATGCTTCAGTCGCCTTGACAATGTCAGACACAGCTAGTAGGAGACACTAAAAGTCCACAGAGCAACTGAAGTTTCTCTGTTCAGCTGAAGATTGCTATGGTGTAACTGAAGTTGTACTTTTTCCTACTCCTGACCCCCCCTTCCTTCTTTTAAGAATAGTAGTATATGCCTTTTATATTAGAAAGTATTTTTTTCTTTCCTTGGACTACCTAAATCTACAGAAGATTGCACAACAATGCTGGACTGCAGCGACTATGTTTTAGGTGGGTATCAGTTTCACTGACTTCTTGCAAGCATGTAATATGGAAATAGCAGTTGTTAAAATTGACTAAATATACAGACTTAATTGCATATGTAGAATTGGGGGATGCATTTGAAATGTTGAAATCTGTCAGTGATTCAGTAGCAAACGCCTTCCCCGTTCTTCATTTTTCTTCCAGAGAATCTTACTCTTCAACATTGGAGAAATGGAGTTGCTCATGACTGTCAAGAATGGAAGCTTACAGAATTTTAAATTTTAAAACATTTGTCTTTTGACAGAAATAAGAATTTGCTTACTTGTATATAATACTGTATCTATTCTAGGGTGTTAGGAGAATAATGTCATTCATTGTAGCTTCATCAGTTCATCTTATATTTTATTTGTATGTGTATATTTCTGAACTGAAGTCACACTTCACTATTTAAAGCAAGCAAACATTACTAGCAACCATTGCTTTTGATACCAACTGTTTAGCTACTAACATTATCTCCTAATTTAATTTCTATTAAATGAATGTTTTTATTTTCTTTAAATATATATATTTAAAGTTAATAGGATTTTCTACCTCCAGGACTTAATATTTAGCATTTTTAAATTTATGAAAAAGTATTTAATTACTTTTAAATAAAAACAGCACAGATTGAACTGTTTTAGAATGATTATTTCAAACTCTTCATATCTGGATTCATTTTCCACCATGGTTTTCACTTCAGTTGTATTCAAGGGATTTTCATCTGGCCTTTTTAAATTTTGTGAATTAGATGAATTAATTTTGATAACTGTATCTGAGAATAATAATGAACATTAGCTGTATATATAGACTTTAGTGTTAGCAGACCATCCCCTCCATACCCCTTCTTATTTGTTTTGAAATGTTAACAATTATGTGGTTGGCTAACTTCCGAGTATTAGAGATCTGTCAGAATAGTACTAAGAATGAATCTAGAAGTTAATTAGCATATGACTTCAGTACTGCACCTGTTATTCTCTGTCCTTGCTTCATTAGAATATGTTTACTTTAGAATACAGAATTGTTTTAGTGCCATAGTAAAACATTAGATTTGCTGCATTTTATGAAAAACAACAACACATAGTTAAAAATGTGAATTTGTTCTACCATGTGCTATCCAAATTATGGTGCCTTATAGTCACACCTATTAAAAATACATCTATCTAGTACTTTTGCATTCACCTTTAAATTAGACTCACTTTAGAATACAAAATTGTTTTAGTGCCATAATAAAATATTAGATTTGCTGCATTTTATGAAAAAGAGAAATGAAAAGTTAAAAATGTGAGTTTGTTTACCATGTTCTATCCAAATTATGGTGCCTTAGAACCACAAATTGACATTAAAAAAGCATTTGTCTAATACCTTTGCATTCACCTTTAAATTAGACTCGTCTTGTGGATTATAGCAGGATTCCAATTCTTTCTGAATTTTCTTTTTATATTGGTGAGCCAGATACCTCTGGGAGTTCACAAGTAGTTCACGGAGGTTCTGTTTGCTTTTGAAGTTCTCTTGAGCTACTTAGTGTCACTGTATCATGTGGTTGTAAATTCATTACAGCAGTCTTGTAATAAGGCATAAGGGATTATCTGTCTTCTTTCAACTAAGTTCTAGATAATGCGACAGCAAGGGCATCCTCTCATTTTGAAGTACATAATTTCTTCCTCTTCATGATCATTTTATACTATTATGGTAATACATCCCATTAAACATGTTTCCATTATATTGAAATCAAAATATTATATTTGTTTCAACATGTTTATGCCTAACACGCACAATTTTTCTGTCCCTCTCTCTCCCCCCCTCTCTCTTCCCCTCCCTCCCTCTCCCCCCTCTCTCTTTTTCTGTGTGTGTGTGTGTGTGTGTTTGTGTTTGATGCAGTCTAATAAATTCATTAAACTTTCAGAACAGGCATAGAATTTTCTGTTGTACAAATGTATTTATAATTGGTGGAGATAGAAAAATCATTTTTGAAAATTGAGTCCTTGTAAATAAGACATACTGCAGTGTGTGTGTGTGTGTGTGTGTGTGTGTAATATATAAAACATTTTTGATTTTTAGGCCATGTAAACATGAGGAAACTGGTCTTTTATATGAATGGATTAGTTTCACAATGGACAGTACTTTACCATCATTTTTACCATGATTTTGCATACTGACTGTTACTATATGATCTGGCTCTGTTTCATATTATTCAGATAACTGCATGCATGATGCAAAAGTAAAGTTTCATTATTGGTGAAGCAGTAGCTGCTGAGATAATCACCTGTGACAAAGAAGAAAGTGATAAAACTAGAGTGATAAAACTAGGATATAACATAATCTACAGACACACATCAAACACACATTCGTATATACTTACACAGCATGTCATTTTCATACTAAGAATGATAGCCCAAGCTTTATAATTATTTATTTAAATTTATTATACCCGTCCCGTGTACTTTGATTGAAACTAAATTGGAAAAAATTTGTCTTTAATGTTCAAAGTGCATTTTTCCCATGCTGTATTAAAAGAGGAACAAAATATTGTGTTCTGAAATCTGTTAATTGGTATATAACATAATAATTTAAGTTTACATTGAAAATTAGCAGTAGAATTTCCTATTCTTGTCTTCACCGCCATCTTGCATGCATAACCCAATTTTGCTCCCAAATTGCCTTCTAGCCTTTAGAGAAAATTTGGGGGATGCCTGGAGTATAAAAATAAGTAATGGCAGAATGGAATTTGCCAACGAAATGTTACTGTTGGAACCAGGCCAAAGTGTTAGTTTAAAAATCTGTTTTTGAAAACCTGAAAGTATTCATATAAGAGGGTTTTGTTTAATGCTGCATTGAAACAAACAACTTCATGGAATCGTCATTTTCAAGTTTGGAATTTGAAGTAATTTACATAATGGCAAGAAAATACATTGATAATCTGGAATATAATGTAGTCAGGTTTCCAAAGCTTCATTTTTCAAGTTACACATGGATTTTTCTCCCATTTCATTTTTTATCTTATGAAAAATGAGTCTTTGCCTAAGTTAATATTTATATATTACTTATTGTTTTCTCAAGATTTCTTTGTGCATGTGATAAGTAAGTAAATTATTTTGTTTCACAGGTTTGGAGGATTTGATTTTTGCCTTTGGCAATTTTTACTGCAATTTTAATGCAGTCTTTACTTATAAATAAAAACTATATATTGTCCTAAAAAAGCACTCTCAGAACTCTCCTAGCGGTTAGTTTTTAATTGTAAACTTTTCTAGTTTTTGATTGTAAACTTTTATAGAAGTCTGAGAACATACCCAGGTATCTGTTGTACAAGATTTGTTGATTATTTGAACTTGACAGTATATGTTACTTACTGACACCGTTGGGCCTATCACTTTACTAAAACTCCATTTAGGAGCATGTCATTCAAGCAGAGTAACAATTCAAGTAGGCATTCAAATCCAGATATTACTCCTGTCTTCTGATTTATAATTCCCAGGTTGAGTGACAATTTACCCCATTGCTTTCAGAAATGGACAGCTGTTCTTTCTACCCAGGATAATGATGGCTGTGAATAGATGTGGGGGAAAATTACAACAGAAATAAACACAAGACTTCTTGTACCAGGGATATTCCCTCACTATCAATTTTTACAGAACAATTTAAGTTCATGAAGATTTAGTACATTAATAAAGGTACAAAAAACAAGTAGTTTTTGTTTATTTTCCTAATGTTCTAGAATAATTATCTGGATTGTAGTAATAAAAACTCTAAATGTGCCATAACTGACAAGATGAATGGATGGTATTTTATAATGATTGGCTACAATATCATTGTTTCATGCAATTCTAACAGAAATCAGTTTGCTTGCAGAAAAAAGTCTGTTCATAACTGGGAAGTCATGGAACAAAGTTAAATAAAGATCTAGGATATAATGAATGATAGTACTTGAAATAAGTTCAAAGTTGTTTTTATGATTTAGATTTTTGTTGCATCATTTAAATGTCAGAACTATTCGGTTTTATTTTCTTGATTTTTTTTTTTACTCCTAGAAATATATAGAACTCTCCTACTATCAGCACAACATGTAAATATTGTATTGTTATTAAATGGTAATGTTTGTTGTATTACTATTGCACAGTGTCAATATTGGGGAGATTGCAATGTTAGAAAAGGATTTCTTAGAAATAAATGCCGGGATGTGTCATCACATTCAAGTTATCATAGTAGTACAATTGCACAATGATAGCTTACGTATATCATGGGAACTTCTCAGAAGATGTATCTGCATCAGTACAAGAAATGTGATTGCCACTGAGAGAGTTACAGTGGAAGGAAAGGTAAAAAACTTTGGGAAGTTGTATAAGAATTTCAGTAAAATGAATTTTAAATAAAACTCAGTAGAAAATGCCAATGAAACAAAATATCAGTGAAGGCTACTTGTTTAGCCAATATTTTTATTTATTGCTAAAATAATTAATAATTATTAATAAAATAATTAATTGTAACAATGAAACAGATAATTCTTATTCCAGTAGTTCTTTTTAATAGTAAACTATTTAAAAGTTTGTAGTGATGGGGGATTTTTTTGCCCTGGTTTTCTTTCAATATACGTGTGAATGCAAATTTAGCAGTGTACTGCAGACTGATTAATAAAAATGTCATGATTACCACAGTCATAAATATAGAGTCAGTAGGACTTTTTTCTCCTAATCACTCTTTTTTTCTTTGTTGTTTATTTCTGATGCAGACTCAAGAATGAATACTCCGTCAGAAACCAGTAAACCTGTAAAAATGGAGAGCGGAGATGGGGAAACAGGTACGAATAGTACTTGAATCAGATTTCTTAATAACACCATAGTAATTACATAAACAGATTTACTTGCTTCCTACTTTTCTGTGCTCAGTATGGCAATATGTTGAGCAAGACATCTATGCACCAATCCTATGTAAATGTGTATTAATAATAGATATACATTTTGTCCTGAAGTATAAAGGGCTGTCCTTATTAATTCCTCTATTCATATTTGTGTTTATCCAATGCATATCTTCTGTTTCCCACCACCACCACCACCATGGTAGAGAACCTGTTACATATAAAATGTGAAGTTGGCAATCTGTTGCTTTGTATGCTTGTTGGCATGTTTGTGTTTGCTGTTATGAATAAAAGAATTGCCTAAGGAGTAACAGAAAGGTGCAAAAAATATTGACAACCTAGATTTCAGTTCTGTAGTTATTTTTGAGTTTAATCAATTACATTAGTAGTGATAGGGCATTCCAAAAGTTCTGCTGTTTTAAACTGTTCTTTAGCGTGCAAAACAACTATTTTAACTGACACCGTAAAGGTAGGTTATGATATTTTCATTATGAGTTGGTAAAGAAACAGTCTCAACAATAACTTAAGAATTTATTTTGAACTCAGTTTTTTAATCTATATCTGTAATCTTCAGATGTTTTGAGTTGCTGTCTGTTTTTCTTTACCCTTTCAATTTCCTTTTTACATTGTAATCGTACATATTATTTTGCTTTGGTCTGAGTACAACCATTTTTATTCAACACTAATTCTACTACAAATCTTATTCTAATTCTACTACAGATCTTTCTCATTTGATTAAAAAAAAAAAACTAAACAATTTCCAGCCTTCATAACTATTGCTAAAATAATCTTACAATGGTTTGGAGCAATATAAGTTAATAAAGAATAATATATGAATAGTGTAGTTTATTATGATACACTGGGAATTGATTGGTTATTCCCTGAAGAAATGGTTTCTTTTTATAAATTGCTCAGTAATTTTGTCTGCAGTTAACATTTCTGCTTCATCCAGTATCATAAACATTTTAATTAAATTGTAAATTAAATGAAAAAGAGATCACTGAATTATATTCAGGAATAGCATGGTTGCGAACTAGAGTGAGACTTCATAATATCCTTAAGCCACATTCTCGGATCCTAATTTTAGTCAAAATATATCCCATTCTGTAAATTTCTCAGAGAAAATGACCAAGAGGGCCCTTTCCCTCTTGGCCATACTTGGCTTCAAGTATGCAAGTTTTGATATATATAGTACCTTTCTCCAGTGGTGTTCTGATAAATATACAAAGCACAAGCCACCAAACAACTGTTGAAAGGTCTGGTCTCAACTGATTCACAACATTCCCCAAAATGTAACAATTGGCTTTAGTGAGTTGGCTCTGGCACATCTCTGCCTTGCTCATACTAATCATTTAGAGTGGGAATATGTGCAAATTGCTATTGCTGTTTACATCTTTTTGGACCATGGACTGAATTTATGTTTCTGAGTAAGATAAAAATTCAACCAAATAGCTTAGTTTAAAAAATGTTTAAGTTGCTTTTATAACTTATCCGTGTATATTTCTATAGGTTTAAAATATATCAGATACTCATGTCAGGTGTGCTGGAGAAGGACTTAACATTTTTAAGATGTTAAACATTGAAATTCAAGTTAAATAAAAATATAAGGTATTTAAAGTCTCTAGTCATACGCCTTTCCTGTTATAGCAATAGCACGTAGACTTGTATACCGTTTTATAGTGCTTTACAGCCCTCTCTAAGCAGTTTACAGAATCAGCATATTGCTCCCAACAATCTGGGTTCTAATTTTACCCACCTCGGAAGGATGGAAGGCTGAGTCAACCTTGAGCCTGGTGAGATTTCAACTGCCAAATTGCAGGCAACTGGCTGCAGCAGAAGTCGCTTGCAGTACTGCACTCTAACCACTGCGCCACTGTAGGCTCCATTGTACTCTTGGGACAGAGATTTCTTTAACAAGATTTATTGAAATGGCAAATAGTAAAACTTTAATTTTAGCAATTGGATTAGTTTTACCTTACAAAATAATTTAGCTTTCAATTTATTAAGACAAACAATTGTTCATCCTAATGGTGCTCTTGTGAACTAAAGAGCTGGCTGTTTTTCCCTCCAGATAACTGAAACAAGTGGATTGTTGTTTCCAAATCATTTCCTAAATTTTTTATGCTCTAAACAAACTATTATAGTATTAGAAGCATAATTATAAATTAACAAATTAAAACCAATCATTTAATATTAATTGATTCAGAAAATAAAATACATTATTTGCTTTTGTATTTATCTGTGAATTTATATATTGCTTACTTCAAAAATTGTAGGCAATTTATACTTCAGAACAGCAACAAGAAAAAATCAATACAAAGCTCACACAGCCAGACTAAATATTCTCCTTAAGCAGTTGCCTCAATTGTTATCTCCTCCACACCAAACACTTACTGAAAAAGCAGAATCTTCACAGCTTTTGAGAATGCTTGCAGAGGTGATATTTAGCAGGTTCTGACCAGTTCTGGAGAACTGGTAGCAGGTAGTTTGGAGAACCGGCAAATACCGCCTCTGACTGGACATTTTACAGTATTCTTCTCTTGCCACACCCACAGAACCAGTAGTAAAAAAAATTGAATCCCACCACTAAGTGCTAGCAAGTTAAGGGAAATCCTAAAGTTGTTGCAGAAGGGACTTTTATCACAAAGTCATATTTATTTAATCTTCCATCTTATTTTGAAGGAGAGAATCCTCAGCCTGCTATATGGAGTAGACAAAATCTGTTTGGATCAATATTTTTTACTGACAATAAAGAGTATTAATAGAGAATGACCAAGACCTTCAATTTGACCTGGAAGCCAACAAGTAATCAATGTAGTTCCTGCAAATACTGGTTATTCTAGTGCTTGCAACTGTATTTTGTATCAACCATAACTTCTGACTTGTCTTTAGTGACTGCCTCATGAAGAGTGGGGTGTATTAATCCAACCAGGAGTATATAAGTAGTTGTTGCTAGAGCCTCAGGTCCAGAAAAGGCTCCAACTGGGACACCAGCTGCAGCTGGCCAAAGAGTGTCCTGATTATGGCCTCCTCTTGCAATTTCAACAGGACCTTAAAGTTCAGGGAGACCCTGTAAATTGTAAAGCTGTTCTTTCAGGGGAAACGCATCCTGATCAGAGCTAGTGATGGAGCAATTCTGGAATTAGAGGCCTTCTGAACAAACACAACTTCCATCTTGCTGGGATTAATGCTAAGCCTGTCTTCCAGTCCCTCACAGCTTACAAACACAAGGACAAGACTTCCATAGCATCTCCTACTTGTCCTGGGGTAGAAATGTACAGCGGGGTATTATCTACATACTGATGGTATGTCTCTCTGAACCAGCAGATAACCTCTTCCAGTGGTTTCATGTAGATATTAAAAAGCAGGAGATGCTGAGGAAGTTATAGGATCACTGATTGATAGGATTATTTGCCACTGAGAGATAAAGCAGGATAAAGAGGAGCACTCCCCATCTAAATGAATAATTTCTGATGACTGAAGAGCTGCCCCAGGTTTTGTGTGACATGTTGAAGCTATACTGTATAAGTAGGCAGGATTATGTCTGGTCATCTTTAACAGGAACCAGTGGGAATTGCATTCTGTCTTCATGCCTAAACCTTGACTGACAAAATGCTTTATCTAGCAGCTTCTCAACAATTGTTAAAAGATTGGAGCTAGGTAATAGTTGTCTATAATGGCTGGGTTAGAGCATGGTCTTTTGATAAGTTTTCCCATTTCTTCCAAATCTGGCAGTACCATTCCTTTCCTCAAAGAAACATTCACTAGCATCTGATGAAGTTCCTGTCTACTATCTAGTTTCACCAAAAGTTGTTAAATCATATATTTGAAAATCTATAAAATTAAGATATTTTATTGAAGCTATAGATTAGAATAGTAGTTCTTAATTGCCCAGTGCTCATATTATATTCATATATTTTATTCAAATAGAGAAAGTAGTGCTTTTCCATTTATTTCCAAGAACAGAAATTCTGGTTAAGTTATGTTCAGCCTTGAGGAACTTTTTAGTAAGTTGTTTACTCCTGCCATCAAAGCCAGTTATTGCGTCCTTGAAAGAATCAATTTGATGAAAAGTGTTCAAGTGCTAATATATTTTAAATGAAACAAACATTAAAACCTTTTTTTTATTTTTCACCTTTTGCTGTATTAGTATTTCACATTTCCATGCTCACTTACTTCTGTGATCTGGTTCCATGTTGTATTCCTTCTGTATCGGTTATCCCAAAGATGCTTTTGCAAAAGGCAATTGCATGACTTCGAATGGCTGAAAGTCTTTTGAGATTTTTTTGTGACATGTTGAGACTGTTCTATACAAGTAATCAGGGCTATTGATCAGTTCTATCAAACAAAATGAATAAAAAGTATCTGCAAGACTTAAACTATCAATTGGTCCTCTTAAGTTTCCTCAAAAATGCAAAAAAGGAGTCTCGATTTTTAGCTTCACCCCTTGGAGGAATCTAGCAACCACAAAAAAAAAAAAAAAAATGTGGTGGGCTGCATGTAGCGCCTAATCTGATCCTACATAATTTAGGATATAAATAAAGATGTTGTATTACTAACATATATTGAAGAACCAGCACTACTTCAACTTAGTTTCAGCAGTCGTAGATTTTAGCCTTTCCCTTTCATCTTGTCAAGCAGTGGGATCCTACCTGTTCCACTAGCGGTTCCGGTGATTTTGTGCCCACGCACACACCTAACACATGCTAGCAGCTTTCCACGTACCAGCTGAGGCCTGTAGTGCCAATCAGTAAGAGGATAAAGAAGGGGAAAGTGCAGGGGAGTGCGGGGAGGGCCGATCCCGTGCTTTCCTCTTCTTTTTCCTCCCCGCTGATTCTAGGAGGCTTTTTTTCTCAGCTGATCGTCTGAGGCTTTTTTTACTACTGGTTTGGCCGAACCGGGCCGAACCAGTAGCATACCACCCCCGATTGTCCTCTTTCTTCTAAATAGCAATGTTAGATCTTGTCTTATGTTTACAATATTTATGCTTTATTTTAAGTTTATTGTAAGGGTTTTTTTTGTCTTAATATTTTAAGTTCTTTTTAATTTTCCTAACACTATATTTATTCAAGTGTTCTGATTACAAGTAATCCTTGACTTCTTGTGTGACCATTCAAAGTTACAATGGCATTAGGGAAAAAGTGACTTATGACCATTTTTCACATTTACAACTGTTGCAGCAATTCCATGGCCATGTGATCAAAATTAAGGTGCTTGGCAACTGACTTGTATTTATGACGGTTGTAATGTCATGATGTCATGTGAACTTCTGACAAAGTCAATGGGGAAGCCAGATTCAACTAACAACCATGTTACTAACTTAACAATTGCAATGATTCATTTAGCAACTGTGGCAAGAAAGAAAATGGGGCAAAACTCACTTAAAAAGTGTCTCACTTAGCAGAAAAAAAAATTGGGTCAACTATGGTTATAAGTTGAGAACCACCTCTACTACATTTTCATTTTGTCATTCCTTTCATTTTCCCCCAAACTCTTATTAATTCATTGTGTTTTATTTCATTTATGAAGTGCTACATAACACTTGAAACACCAGTATTTGATAAAATTCTTCTGCAATACAGTATGTGTATCCTTCATGTACTGAGAACTTCCTCCAATTGCTTATGAAGAATGAATCATTTTAATAGTGATTGCCAATTTAGTGACCTGAGAAGTTGCATAGTATTCGTTTTATTTTTTGTTTGGTTTCAGACTAAGACTTCTTTGTTTCTCGCAATTTTAAAGATATCAAGATATCATAGTTCCTTCGAGAATTTAGCTTCTATATCTACTAATTGTCTCAGATCCTGTTTTATACAGTATTTTATTACATTGATATTTGTATTCCTATCTAGTTGGATTTTTAACTTTTATGATGGAAATTTTAGTAGCATTATTCTATTGTAGGCTATTAATAAGTGGCTTTAAAACAGAACAGTAAATGTGTAATATTAAAGATTTGCTAGACTTAAGACTTAAAATACAGGCATTTTAACATCTTTGTCTTTGAATTGCTACTTGAATTTTAAGGAACCTGCAATTTTTTCAGAATTGTCTTTAAGAAGAATTTCAGTTGGTTATAACTTTGCTTTTCTAGGCACACAAACAAATGGCCTAGACTTTCAGAAACAGACGGTGCCTGTTCCAGGGGCAATTTCCACAGCCCAGGCGTTCCTTGGACATCTTCATCAGGTAAGCATATATTTTTTCCTTTTATACAGACCACTTGAAAAAAAGTCACATAGATACTTTTTATGTTCAGGATTAGCACAGTATAAGGCTAATATCTTAATAACTTCTATAAAATCTGACATATTCTGGAAATATTTAGCAGCCAATATATGGAAAAAAATTGAAAATTGCAATGGAAACAACAAAAAAAGCTCAATTGTTACTTTATAAAAAAAGTACATCATGATCATGTAATATGTCCTTGTGTCTCATGTTGCTATTGGAAGGAATCCATGCATATCCACAAAATTACACAATGTTCTAAGAACATGATACAATTGCATACATTAAATAATTGCATAAATTATGTGCATTCATAGGCTTTTGAAATAGGGATGCTGTCAAAAAGACAACAATTAACAGAACAATGAAATAACGTCAAATTATCTTTAAACCGAATTCAGCTAAAAGTTGTTATATAAAATTTGATTCTTCAAGAGTGAACTAGAGGCTGCAAATCATGATAATTGTTACCACTGCTTGGACTATTGCTTATTTTCAGTTTCTAGGTAAAAGCTACTATTGACAACTGTTGATGGCTTTGGAATTCATTTGATTAATTTGTCTGTTTGTAGCAGGATCACTTTAATAAGGAGAATCAGTTTGATGCAGTAGTTAAGGCATCAGGCCTGAAACTGGGAAACCATTAGTTAGAGTACTGAGATCAAGTTTTAGGTACAAAGCCAGCTTGGCGTACTTGGGTCAATCACACACTCCCAGCTATAGGAAGGAGGCACTGGCAAACCACTTCAAAAAATCTTGTTAGGAAAACTACAGGGACTAGTCCACACAGTTTCCAGGAAGTCAACACTGTCTCAAAGATACACATCCACGCACACAAATACACACCACTTGATCATAAGCAATAAAGAGTTTGAAAAGTTTCATGCCTTACTGAGTTTGATTTCATTTGACTGGATATATGTACTTGGATGGAAATATGACTAATTAGACATTTGATTTCAAAACTTCTTGTTCTCAGACATTAGAAACCTAAGTGCTAAACAGATAATTATGGGGTAGTTAAAGAAATGCTAGCAGAAGAATTTCTAATAGTCATCATGAATGAGATGAAGGATTTTGACAAATCTGATTATTTTAATTTAATTTTTGTTTTGTTTTACAAATCAAGTGCTGTTTGGCAAACATGGAGATAAATATGTAAAAATAGAGGAAGAGGTAGCACAGTGATTGTTTGTATATACTGTACATTAAAATATTTCAGTAAAACGCTATTTTTAAAAAGTGGCAGTTGATAGTAAAAATAATTTTCCATTACAGGTTTTTACTATCGAAAAGAAAAATGATCTGAATTAGGAGTCTGCCACATAAAAAGTAGTTGAACAAAAATAGTTTCTTGACTGTTTCTATTGTCATATTCAAAGTAGGATTTTTAAAACCCATGTTTAAATGAGATGATTATTCATTCTAGAAGTCAGGAAGTTAGTGTAGTGCAACTAAGGAGAGAAAGAAGAGTTTCATATTCTAATGTATCACACATTTAAAGCTGTAACTTAAATTATAATTTTACAATGCACTGGCATTTCCTATACTTGTAAATTGTTTGATTATATAGAATCTTTTGGCTACCTTAGAACATCTAATAAATCAAAATTATCTTATAATGTATTAGCTTTGGTGAGATAAAAAAGACATAGATTTTTGCTTGCCTATCCCTTTTCTGTGTTGCATATATTCTTTATGAGATAAATGCATGGAAGTTCTTGCTCAAAAGAATCAACTTTTTTATATACTATTTAAAATCATGCATTCCTTCTTGCTTATTTTAGGGTTCTGCCAAAATCATACTTGTATGTTGAAGTAGGAAAAAGGGAATGGATTGAGAATTCCAATTGTTTCTCCAATACCTGATTTTATAATATGTCAAAGAGGCTTTTAATTTTGGCATGGTCCAAGGTTAATTTGTCAGACACATCACAAACCCTGCCTCCAAGTTCTGAGCAGTACATAATAAATGTTTTTATTTTCTTCCAAAATAGAAAGTGAACTTTGATTTGAAAAGGACAGCAAATGTTTCCCTTCTGAATTTGTTTAACAGATTTTATTTATTTATTTGGGAAATATTGGAAATTTGGGGAATGTTTCTACAGCCTAGAATACATTACCCCTTCTCACATTTACTTTTTTAAGAGGAAAACAGTTGTCTTTTTAAAAGAGGAATTTTTTTTACTGTTATTTGTAAGAATAAATGGCTATCGGGTATTTTTTTCCCCATAAAAGTAAAGAAAAGCATGATCTTGTGTACAAAACTTTGTATACTTGTCACAGAACAGCCTGATATTTCCTAGTGTTCCATGTTGTCCAAGGATGAGCTCATCCAACCTCTGGGATGGTTGGAGGTCAATATATTTAAAATACTGTACCTACTGTTCTTTACTGTGTTTCCAAATAGAGTTTCCTTCACATTGAACTTCAGTCCTGGTGATTTTGTGTACATAGCCATACTGCTTCCTGTGCAAACATAGAAATTATTTGCCTCAATTTCCAAGACCAGTTCAGTTATTGCAGTATGTGAAAATTGGTTAGCTTAATCAAGTTCAGTTATGCTTCTTGATGAGATGTGCAGGAAAAATATCTTAGTAAACAAAATCAATGTGACTTGGCTGGCTTAGCCTTGGGTCCTATGATGTTTACTAACAGATAGAATATTGGGTGTTTGAGGCTAATGCAACAAGACAGTAATACACAAAATGATCATTGATGATGCTAGGGTACATGCTTGTAGGTGATCGAGGAACATGCATGAAAATATACATAAGGCTACAAACGTATCAGTTTTAACCGATACACATATTCATTTTGTCTGTGCCACTTCTCGTGAAAATTCAGTTATTTTGTCTGTACTACTTTTAGTGAAAACCTTCCATTCATCCATTGTGTACTATTCCTAAGCTTTGTGTGCTGTTTTTTAAAAAAAATACATTTTAAGATCATTTAGAATGTATTTAAAATTGTCACTGGGCAGTAAGTATAAAAGGTTAAATTCAAACATATCTTTTTCTATCTATAACTATTAATCTCTTGTGTTTGTTTGTAACCTTCAATCGGTGAAACAGTGCGTCATAGCACCACCATTTTGGAATCAGCATACCTCGGATGGACTAATTTACAGAATGTGTATAAAATCTGAGGGAATAAATGGAGGAAAGTTGTGGCAGCTTTAGTGGCTGTACTGCCAAGTCAGCTGCAGTCACATGGTAGTGATTTTCAAACATTCGCTGCCAGTTTCCTACAAGGAAACTCAATGGGAAAGCCAGCAAGAAGTCAGAAGTTGCTCCCGCTCCCCCTGCTTTTTTGCTCACCCATAATTATTCTGCCTTTTTGTTTAGGTAAGGAAGTATTTTTGAAATGATGACCCAATGGGTCACAATTGGCTAATTAACATGCAATCTTCAATGATAACAGCTTGTGTATTGTTTTGTTTTTTTTCACATGGTTTGCAAGATTAGTTGGCAAAACTTCTTAGCTTTTTTGCAAATGTGTGTGCTCTGTGGTGCAAGTTGATATCCGGTTAATAAATGCTTAAAACATTATTCAGAGCTGTCTTGGAGTTTACATTTAGTGAGAGAAGTAATACTGAGTATCTGTGACAATTGGTTTGTCTACAATATAGGATGAATATATTTAAAAATAAAATTTAGGCTATACAGATATTCCAGAGATGCTTTTTTCAAGAGGCAACTGGACTTTCTGTTTTTTCTTTGAAGATGTTTCGCTTCTCATCCAAGAAGCTTCTTTAGCTCTGACTGGATGGTGCGGAATGGAAGGATTTATACTCCTTGCAGACAACTGGACATTTGCATTCTTTTAGCAAGTCGTTAAGGTCACCTGGAGGTTTATCTGTGTCATCAGGGTCACCTAAGTGGTACAAATTGGTGTGGAGCCTTCTTGGAACTGTTGAAAGGACTGTGTTGTAGATTGGAGATAGATTATGTTGTATCCCTCCCCCTCTATTAAGAGGGGGCTGTTCAGTTTTGACATAGATGGCCTCTTCGACCCCTTTTTCAAATCAGCATCCTCTCTGTCCAAAATATGGACTTTGTTGTCTTCAAAAGAATGGCCTGTGTCTTTTAAATAAGGATGGACTGCTGAATCTGGTCTTGATGTGTTTGTTCTCCTATGTTGTGCCAGGCATTTATGAAGTGGCTGTTTCATTTCCCAATGTACAGGTCTGCACATAGCTCACTGCATTGTACTGCATATACCACATTGCTCAGTTTCTGTCTGGGTGTTTTATCCTCGGGGTGGACAAGCTTCTGCCTTAGTGTATTCTTAGTTTATTGAGAAGCAAAACGTCTTCAAAGAAAAACCAGGAAGTCCAGTTGCCTCTTGAAAAAAGCACCTTTGGGACAACCATGATCTGGATGACTGAGAATCTCCATAGCTATACAGATATGTTTACTGCAGAACAACATAGTATCATTCACAATTATCTAATGAGATGAATTTTTTAAAAACGCAGCATGTTAAACTTAGTTTTCATTAAAATGGTCTTAAGAATTTTTTGCAAATTATATATAAGAGAAATGTATTCATAATTTGATATTACAAAAAGATTGAAACAGCAAAAATTGCAAGTTTTTACCTTCACCATATCTCTATGACAGCTACATTGCAACTCTGGTTTGCAAACCCCTCTAATGAATTCTATTCTATCTCGTAATACTATCAAACAGACAGATTAAACTGGATGTTGGCACTGCTGATAGAAGCTTTTTTTACAGGATAATTACTTGCTTGCTGACAGATGGCATGCTTATACTTTTGTGGAATCCAACCCAGAAATGTAGGAAATGTTTGAAAAGTTTGAAAAGAGTATTTGCTTATATACTAGCTACCTTGTTCATATGCTACCTGAATAATATATTTGAGTTCCCAGAGCTATGCTGTAGTTCAACAGAGTGTACAATACATCCTTTTTGGAATTTTTAAAAAATAAAAAGTGCTATAATCTTAAATTTTAAGATATCCTTTCTAATCTTGTACAATAATGCGATATTACACAATTCCTGATTTGTATTTAGTTTTTATCTTAATTCAGTTATTCTACTCCTTCAACCAGAGAGTGATTCAAAGCTGTCTTATTCAGCTTTTGCTGATTCTGAATCTTGATGTCAAAAACTTCAAAAGTAAGCTATAATGCCTTAGACTAACCATAATTGGAAATCACTAAGTAGCTATAACTTCCTTTGTCAAAATTGGGTAATTTTAAAAAATATAATAGGCCCTTGTAAGCAGAGGAAACCTTTTTTGTATTTTTTGGGAAAATTCATATCCTTTATAATTTGGAAGTTTGTGTTCATATGAAAATGATACACAACACAACGGAAATCCCTACTTTTAAAAATCATTAAACATCTGTAGAAGGATGCCCTGATGTCTTTTAGAAGAACATTTTAAAAAAAATTATTGGGAATGATTTTTAACCTATAAAGAATGGATTACCAACCACAAATCTAGGTTCACACAACATACTAAAATCTGAAGAAATTAACATTTAGTGATATGCATATCATCTATGGTTCTGTATTCCACCGAATTTCTAATGAAATTTAATGAGATTCTAATTTTAACTGCTTCATAAAAAATGCTGTTTTCATTTAGTTAGCTTCCGAATCTTTCCAGATCAGTTCAGTTCTGCAATGGGATTCAGCCTTCTAGTAAATTTCACTCATGATTTCAAATCAATGTAGTTTTCTTGGTAATACTGCCATTGCATTCTGCTAACTAAAGTATTTTTAACCCATTTAACTATAACCTTGGGGGTTTAAGTAGTATTTAAGACATAATACTATGTGTTTTTCAAGCCAGGAAACTTTGCAATCATTTTACTGATTCTATTCATAAAAACAAATTATTTTTATAGGTTCAGCTTCCTGGATCAAGTTTACAAGCTGCTGCCCAATCCTTAAATGTACAGGTAAGAATTATTATAAATTTCTTATCTGTCTCAGTCTATGTGGTTGAAATATGAATAGTGTGACACAATAATAATTAACTTAGGTGTTCAACAGCAATTAATGCTGTTAAAACTATTAAAAAGAGCTCCTTTTATATTACAGAAGTAGATATCATCATCATTTTATCCTACCCTTACCCATTTTTATCCCACCCTTTACCCTTTTAATGTATCATTTTGGAAAGTTATACAATGTTGGAGAAAATACATTTATTTTCAATAGTTGAATCTAAAACTTGTTCATTTCTATCAAAGATATATAGCTGACTGAATAAGTTTTGTGTATTGTATGATACTGTACCAAATTGGGATCCTCTGATTCTTATTATTAAGACATTCAAGCAATACATTAAAAAAGAAAAGGAACACAACAAATAGTATTTTGAAGTGTCTTCTTTGTAAGAATGCTAAAGACTGAAGACTATTCTTGAAGCCCTATAGAACGCACATCTAGTTACAAATTATGCTTCTAAAAGGAGTAGGAAAAGTGACCTTCTTCTGTAAAAAAAGAGGCTGAACATTGACTTGGTTGCCATGGTAATTTTTCAATCCCAGAGAGAGATGTTGGCAAACAGGCTATATCTCCAGTGCAGAATGTTTACAGTCCTGTGCTGTAATTATCTCTCAATGACTGGCAGAATTAATCAGAGCCTCTATGTTAATTAGCCTGCTCTGCGGTCCCCAAAACAGGTGGTGGAAAATATGTAAATCTATGCAGAATTTTAATGTTCTCCATAAGCGATTTTAATTAGCATAAACCCCTCTTTGGGCTTTTTTCCCTTCTTTCTTTTGCTTTCTTGCTTGCATTTCCTACCTTGTGGCTATATATTAATTTGTTTTTCTATAAGATAGTTTAAGTATGTAAACTGAGCTTGCCATTAATAAATAAACATAAATACCAGAACTTCACTTATTAGAAATAATATTTATATTCTGAGTGTTGGTTTTCTTTCTCGTGGTACTTTTTGGTATACAAACATTTTAGTATCTTGTTTAAATTGAATGCCGTATTGATAAAATGGATACATGGAAATTGCGACCCTGTGATCCAAACCTTCAGTGTATTAGTATTGGTTTTTCCAGTAATTAATAGGGTTGGGCAATGTCACATACTTGGTGAAGGTGTGCATCTAAGAATTATCAGTAACATTGCATTGACTATGAAAGTTTGGAAGCTTTAGCAGCACTAATTAATGTTTTGGTTTAAACCAATGCATAAGTGATAGGGAGATAATAAATCAGAATCTTTATCTATTCAACATATTCATTTATATCCAACTATAAATAACCTGAAATTACTGCTCTTTTCTTTTGTTGCAAATATTTTGTTTTTTACTGGTGCGGAAGCAGATTTAACCCCATCTGTTATTTATGCTTACTTATAGAAATGAATAAGCTTTTTAAAGTGTTTTTTTAAAAAACAGATTAATTCACAATCAATTTACAGGGAAAACACTACAGTAGAATATGTGTTTGTCCACACTAATAACTGCTGTGTTCTACAAAGTTTGTATTTTTCTTTCTCTAGTCTAAATCTAATGAAGAATCTGGGGACACTCAGCAGCCAAGCCAGCCTTCACAGCAGCCTTCAGTTCAGGCGGCCATACCGCAAACACAGCTTATGTTGGCTGGAGGGCAGATAACTGGGGTAAGATCAGCTGTAGCAAATGAGAATGAGCAACCTTCTCAAGTTGTGGTATTAGCCAAACAACCCATAAAAAGAAAATGAAGTAATCCCAGTGAATCTGAATTTATCAATATTATGCATTCCTGTAAATCTCTAATAAGGTGATAAAACTGAGATTGTTTTGGTTTTCCTGATAATTACTCTATGTAAAGAGAGAAAATTCTCTTTGCTGTTTCTTCTAAATATTGTATTTTCATGAATGATATTCTAGTATTTTGAACTCTAAGCCCGATATGTTGTATTAATGTTTAAGTTTCACACTTTTAGTTTTATATGTGGTGGGAATAGTTGTCCTTGCTGGCTATGACAATATATTTAAATATAAATACATTTGAACTCTCCTAAGCAACAGCAGCTCTATTGCAAAATATTAGTGATTATAGATATAGATAATTTTAACAAAACCTCTTAGTCTAAACTGTTAGTGCATTTTTACACATTTGTTTTCTACTCTTCTGAAACTCAAATATAAATTTAGAAGATAAGCAATTTGTGATGAAATCAGTAGCAACATAGAAATGGCAATGTAATTTATTACATGATTAAAATAAGAAATGTATTGGTGTCTATGAAGTCACAATAAAATCACTCTCATATTCATGAATATCGAATCAGATATTTTAATATTCATCCTAAAATGTAACTTTGATTACATGTTTTGGTTTGTTGGCATTCTCTTTTTCATATAGAAAAATGAACCCTTAGATTAACATTTTAAAATTTGGCATGAGATGAAAAGATCTTTATATAGGCTTTTCAGTTGAGCTCTTTGTACATTTTTCAGTTGAGCAAATGTATGCCATAACAATAGCAAAATAACATATAAATCACAATTTTACTGTAATCTGAGTATCATTCTTTAAAGTTTATGATAAGATTATGTGTGAATGTTTGCATGGACTATTTAGCATCCTTCAGGCTTATTGAAATACTGTCTGGGTCATATTGCTGAAATGTTATTGCCTGTAATACAGGGAGTGGATCCAGGTCTTTGAACCTAGCAGCTCTCTCATTACAGAAACTGGGAAGAATATTAATGTGTCAAAGGGAGTTTGATGCCACCTGTTTCAAAGAGATAATGCATGTTTGGAAACTGGCAGAGATGTCAACTCACCAGCTCAATGTTATCAAAACAAAAAGACAGACGGAAGAGGGGGTGCCTTGGAAAGGAACAAATGGTGCACATGTTCCTCATCTATATCTTAAGGCATAATGGGGACGATGGAACATGGCAGGGATTCATACTAATATGAAGCAGCTGGAGTATTATCAGTTGTTTGGTAACCAAAGCCAGTATTGCTATTTTTCTTTCATCTGGCTAATCGCTTGTGCTTTCTGGTGGATGTAAATTTCCTTTCAAAGCCTGTCAATGATGGCTTGTTCTTTTTTGCTTGTTCTATTTCCTGTCAGTGCTGTTTCTGTCCATTGCTTGCTTGCTAATTATCTTTTTCACATTAATCTTGAGGTGGAGTCATAGAGAATCTTGCTTCTCTGATCCCAGTGGTATGAATGGCCACAAGCACATGCCAGCCCCATTTGGGTGGTGTAAAATTAACTGGACCGGCTTGTTGTTGTTTTTTTACTGAAGCAAAAAACGCTTAACATAAAATAGCTTTGTCTAATAAAAACTTATCAGAAATTAACAGTGATACTTAAGAAAGCGGCTTTTCCTTTCTTTTATTAATTAATTTTCTAAAACTTGTTTCTAGCTTACGTTAACACCAGCCCAGCAGCAATTATTACTACAACAGGCACAGGCACAGTTGCTGGCAGCTGCAGTGCAGCATTCAGCCAGTCAGCAGCACAATGCTGCAGGGGCCACCATCTCAGCTTCTGCTGCAACGCCCATGACACAGATTCCTCTATCTCAGCCGATACAAATTGCACAGGTGAGGTTCAAACCGTTAATGGCTTTAGTTGGCCAAATATGTCTTCTTTTGTTGTTCACAGAGCAGCTGAAGTTTAGATCCATTATATATCTTGTTGTGAGAATGTCTTGGGTACCCAGTAACTACCGTGCTATATCCCTGTTGCAGAAAGTTTTTAAATCTATCACTCTTCAATCAAGGGAGAGGGGGAGGGGGGAAATAAAAGTAGAAAGTGAGAGTAGGAAGCTTAAAACTGAACTGTGGAATCAACAAAGCAAAACTTCATGTCCAAATCTTCATATAACCTCTAGAACAGGAGTCCTCAATCCCTGGGTCTGGCCCATTCGGAACCAGGCCACATAAGTAGCAGGTGAGCACATACGTGTGCGTAGCTTCACTTGTGTGAGCAGCGTGCACGTGCCACTCTCACAAATGAAGCTGCACTCATGAGCATGTGTGCCTGCCACTCACCAAAAACTCCTCTCTCTCCTGCAAGGTTATCAGGCAGAAAGGTTGGGGACCGCTGTTCTAGAACCTTTTACACTGTAGACTGAAGAAAATAGTTTAATAGAGATAAAAATACCAGCTGCTTGCGCAGAAGTAGGTGCATGTAAAAAGAGACGGAACCCATTAGATCTTCCTGTTATTAAAGGCTGCTGCAGAAAAATCTCAGTGGGATCTGCCTTTTTCATGAATCAGTTGACTGATGAGAACAAAAATGGCTTTTGTCTTGCTGTTTCACAACTTTCCTATCAGCAAGGGATAGGTACAGTGAATAAAGGAGCCAGCTTGAAGCATCAGCATTTCCTAAGGATTTGTTTCTGTTATGGACATGACAGCAAATCTGAAAACCTCAAAAAGTTTTTCAGTGGAAGGGGTGATAAAATTTCAGTTGAAAGGGGTGATAAAATGGAAATATATACCCTTCAAAGATGTATGTAGATACATTGTGTTCAGGGAACAAGATGTTTGGAGTTCTTCCTTTGACTTTATTTTATTCTGAGAGGGAGAAGATGCTTAGTTTTGGATATCTCATATGTTTTCCTTCTTGAAGGATCTGCAGCATCTACAGCAGCTCCAGCAACAAAATCTCAATCTGCAACAGTTTGTCTTGGTGCATCCAACAACCAACTTGCAACCAGCACAGTTTATCATCTCACAAACACCGCAGGGACAGCAGGGTAAGCAAAACATTTCTGAGATGCTCTTTTAAAGTTTTCATACAGCAAATTTCTGTATTTTTGAGACACCATTAAAAAAAAATTAGTTATAGGCACGCTTCTTTTGGGAGGAGAAGAAGAAACTGTTCTATTGGAACCATCTGACTGACTGTGTTCACCTGATCAGGATGTATCTACTCAGTGTCCCTTTATAAGAATCATTCATTCTGTATGAAAGATAAAGAAATACATTTTTAAAATTGTTTTTCTTCTAATTGCACATAGATTAATCACCAACAAATTTACATTTCTTTGGAATATTTAGAAGTTGTTCAGCTGTATCACTTACTTGAAACTTAAGCAAATAAGAGTAATAGTTAATTGGCTGAGCTTGTTCCCAGCAAATTCTACAGAATAGATGTGCCATAAACCTTCAAGATGACTCTATTATGAGGATAGCATTTTTATATTATGGATGGTTTTTTCTTTCTTTTTGGCTTAAAGGAAACACAAAATGCTGGTAGCTTGTAGATAAAAACAAATAATATGCCCGTTCCCTTTTCCTCCTTTTGTCAGGTTATCATTTAAGGGGCAATTGTATCAACCATTATTAAACACTAGCTTTCTTAGGAAATGGGATGGTAGTACAATTCGCTAGAACAAAGGTTCATTTGTATATTGCTAATAATACCTGCGGAAAAATCTGATAAGTAACAGCTAGGGCAGAACCTCTATTTAGACATGGATTCTCAAAATTAGAGAATTTTCTAAGTAATGGCTTGGCTTACCACAAGGGGTCATATGATCCCTTTTTGTGACCTTCTGACAAGCAAAGTCAATGGGGAAGCCGGATTCACTTAACCAGGTTATTATCAATTGCAGTGATTCACTTAACAACTGTGGCAAGAAATGTCGTAAGATGGGGCAAAGGTCTCTTAACAAATTCTCACTTAACAACAGAAATGTTGGGCTGAATTGTGGTTGCACGTCGAGGACTACCTGCATTTGCTTTTTGAATGGACTGCTGTAGGCAAATTCATGGAATGCTACAAGTAATAATGAACAGAATCAAAGGGAACATACCCTACACATGATTTGCTGAATGCTTTTGGTTAGCACAGAATAATGACTTAAAACATTTATTATTTTTATAATTTAAGTACTGCCCAATACTACTGACTTTGAGTGGTTTGTAATATAACAAAAACTCAAAAACAAAGCAAGATGGTTTGCAGTATAACAAAAACAAAGCAAAATGGTATCCAGTTGCTCCAGATAAAATAATAGAAAATCATATACCACAAGAGATTCCTTTCATAATAACCAAAGGCCTGGGATGTCTTTAAGGCCTTCAGAATGCCACCAGAGTAAGAATCATACTGATTTCAGTGGGAGTCTCATTCAAAAGGGCATGCATCGTGATAGAGAAGTCACATTTCTGGATCCCGATAGCACTGTTAATCAAAAGAGCCTGAAACCCACCAACTATATCAGCACATATGGACCAGGCAGAAACCAGGGGAGATAAGTGGTCGTTCAAATAATCTGTTCCTGTGTCATGTAGGGTTTTACAGATTATATCCAACATATTGCATTGCACTTGGAACATGCTGGCAACCAGTGCAGCTTGTAAAGTAGAGGTCTCACATAAACATTCTGAGGTATGTCTATCACTGTTCATACTGCTGGATCAGTTGAAGCTTCTGAATGGTGTTCAAGGTAATTCCTATGTACAGCACATGGTAGTGATCAAGCTATGAGGTGAATGGAATATGACTGATTTTCTGAAGGCTTCCCAATTTAGAAGGGGCACAATTGGTTCATCAAATGGAGCCAAAGGTCCTCTTTCCTTTCCAGTTCATGTCCTGATCAGCTGTCTGGTATATGTCTCAGGCATATACTGCACTACTTCCAGTAGGCTTCATAACCTGAAGCCCAAGAGTTTTAAGTGACCCTCCAAACCATTTGGTTTTCCAAGCATCTATAATTCTTTGGGATTTTTAATGTGATATAAGGAAAAACTACATTTATTTAAAATTTAATTTAATCTCATACTTTTTTACTTTATAATCTCCAGGTTGTAGCTCAAAATTGAAGTAGACTATGACTTCAGAGACTGTGCCCACATGAGTTGTGCTTTCAGCATAGTAACATAAGAGCCTAACTATTTTTCTTCCTGCTCTGTTTCTACTGTTTTAAGAAAATAATGGAGTTAATATAGAATTCCTTCAACAGTAGGCTGAGCAACAAGTATGATATACATGAAGAAATACTGTGCATTTTAGAACCTGTACTGCAGCAAACTATGTTGATTAATTTCATTTATACAAATGCATTTCAATTTTCAGGTCTCCTGCAAGCGCAGAATCTCTTAACGCAACTACCTCAGCAAAGCCAAGCCAACCTCCTGCAGTCTCAGCCAAGCATCACTTTCACCTCTCAGGTCAGTTAGTTGTTTGTTTATTTTGTTTTATTAATTCTGCCAATTGATGAGATGAAGTAGAATAAAAGAAAAAGTGCATGATTTATTGATCTCAAGTGGGGGATGCACATACTCAGCCACTACTTCCATGACCCGGATCCGAATGGCTGAAGGCCTGGTAGTGGGCTAGAGGTTGGGGACCCCTGTTTTAGAGGAAAGGAGAATGAGAGAGCAGTAATGCTGAATATTCTCTTCCCAAACACAATCTTCATCATGATCACAGGTAAATTAATGTCCTTTGCCCATTCCAGTGATCCTTATCATGGAAGGAAAAATAGAGATGTTCTGATATGTCTTGCCAAAAGGTTTATTTCTGTTATTCCATTTCTGTTATTCCTTGTTTAAGAACAAGGTTTTAAAATGATAGTTATTTCAATCCTGAACCTCCATTTGTTTATTTTCAGTGGATCATTTTGATTGCTAACACTAGGACAGAAGAAAAAATTATCTCTATCCATTTTATCTATGGCATCAATGATTGTATATAATTCTATCATATCTTTTCATACCATTCTTATTGCTGTAGCCTTTCCTCATGGGAGCTATTTCATCCCACCAATCATCTTCCCTTTTTTACATTAACTTCAGTTCTGAAGTGCCATGATCAGAACTGTACACAATAGTTAAGGACGATTGCAACATAGATTTATATAGTAGTATTATATTGTTCTATTCCCTTTCTATGATTCCATTCATGACTTTGTCGTTTGTACAGCATCTGCTGACAGCATTGGCATTTTCAAGCTCTCCACTATTACACTGTTACAAGATCACCTTTCCTGGTCAGTTACTACCAGCTCAGATCCCATTAATATATAGATAAATTTTAGATTTTTAAATGCCAACATGTAACTCTTTATACCTGTTTACTTTAACTTTACTTGGGGGAGCCCATTCTTTACAATCACTTTTGATTTAGCTGCCTTCCATTGCTGCTAGTCAGCCCTACTTCCATTTAATTTATATGGAATATAAATTATATCAATTGCCCTGAAATAGATCTTTGAGGGACTTCCTCTTCGTACATCTCAGCATTGTAAGAATTGAAAATTTATGTCTTCCCTGGTTTTAGTTAACTGCTAATCCATGAGACAACTTGAGTTGACCCAGGACTCTTTGGTGATATTCTTTGATCAAACCTTTTCAGAAACTGTGAAATATCTGTTTAGTCATCCTTGTTCATATGCTTACTAATATCCTCAAAATATCTAGACCATTTGTTATTACTATGAAATGATTAAAAGTATTAATTTCCTTCCAAATAGCTATGGTGATACCAATTTTAGCTGTTTCTAAAATTGAAATAATGTACATATACACACCACACACACGCACACACACACACACACACACACACACAAACACACATACACACACACACCATATACCATAACAGCTGGGTAACCTGTATATGTAAAAGAGGTCTCAGATTAAGCTGTTAATATTATCCCTATCCTGTTACATGAGAACCTGTCTATTGTACCTTAGACCCTCATTACCACTTGGTTAGATTAGTGTGGTACACTTTACATGGGTTTACCATGGGAAACCGTTGGCCATGTGATAATTGACACACATTCCTAGGAGTACATAGCACCAATACCACACATTGACTAATTAGTTTCCAAGTAAAATTTAAAATGCTTGGCACCCTTTACAATTGCAGGACTACTGACTCCTACCTGACTTTTTCCAATTTATTCAATTAAATTATTGAATAAATCTCCTTGGACTCCCACATTTCCAAGAGACAAAGGAATCGAAGTTGGGAGGTACCATTTTTCAATAGCAATACCTTTGTTTTGGAATAATTTTTTGGTGGAGATTATGCTGACCTCTGCTATGATTGCTTTCAGTAAGATTGAGCTATTTTAGAGCTTATTCTAGATATTTTGTGTATTATGCCATCTTTTATAGTTTTATTAAATTGTGTCAATTTTGCTATATCTGTACATTTTGACTGAACCATAATTGTGACTGAACTGTAATTTAAAATGTAAGATGGACATTTAATTTTTTGGGAATCTTTGAGCTTCCAAGAGTTGTTAGATTATGTTTAGATAGAAATGCAATAAGTACATAACATTCCTTAGCTCATTCACATTGCATAGTTCTGCAGTTTCCAAACTTTGTAATGTCATCCTAAATCACAACAGCAAACTAACAGAAGCACCATGGAATATTTTAAATTTTAACCTTTGGCATAAATAAAGTGCCTGTTATATCTATATACAGGTAGTCTTCAACTTACAACCGCAATTGAGCCCAAAGTTAAGTGAGCAATTTGTTAAGTAATTGCCCCATTTTATGACTTTTCTTGCCACATTTGTTAAGTAAATCAGTGCAGTTGTTAATTTAGTAACATAGTTGTTAAGTGAATCTGGCTTTCCCATTAACTTTGCTTGCTAGAAGGTTGCAGAAGGTGAGTGATCACATGACCCCGGGATACTGCAACCATCATAAGTATGAAGCAGTTGTCAAGCATTCAAATGTAAATCACGTGACCATGAGGATGCTGCAACAGTGTTTCATAAGTGTGAAAAAATGGTCATACGTCACTTTTTTCAGTGCCATGTTAACTTCGAACAGTCACTAAATGAACTGTCGTAAGTCAAGGACTAAATACTACCTGTACTTAGTGAAAATAATTGTTCAGTATTTCGTTTGCCCCATGAAAAATTTACTGAGAAAGCAAGGGTGCTATATACCACCAAAGTTTGAGAACCTCTGGCATGGTGACAAATTATTGAATGCAAGCACACTTGGATTGGGCAACAGGACAATTAGAATGTTATTTGTCTTGTAAATTATTACTGCACTTTCCATATTACTCTACTTTCTTGTATTTCTTAGCAGCCAGCAACCCCAACACGCACAATAGCAGCGACCCCTATTCATCCACTTCCACAGAGCCAGACAACACCAAAGCGAATTGATACACCCAGCTTGGAAGAGCCCAGTGATCTTGAGGAGCTTGAGCAATTTGCCAAGACTTTTAAACAAAGACGGATAAAACTTGGATTCACTCAGGTATGATCGCGTTTCCACATAGAAGGGATTTGGTCAGTGGTATTCGGATCTGAGACTCTCAATCACTTTTCCCAATTAGAAGTGGTTTCTTATTTATAAATTTGCAATATTATTTAATGTTTATTAATACTGATATATTTAAATAAATACTTAGTGGATATTGTGCAGCCAATTTGATATTTTGAAGCATATCTGTTGGACTCCTGAAGATAATGTGCTGACTGAGAACTTCTGGTTTAGATAGAGCTGATATTTAGTATTATGGAGCATTGCATCCATAGATAGGGAGATATGCTATAAAAACATCTTCATAACTTCCCATAGAAAATCTCTTTGGTTGGATTAGGAAAGTTTTTAAGAGATGACTATTTCTAAAGCAGTTGTAAAATGAACATATTATACCGTGTGCAATAAGTATCTCAGATTATTCTACAATAATGGTTTACTGAAAGCAGAAACCATTTCTTACATGTTGAGTAGAAATCTCCTTACATCTGATACCCTCAACAAATTACTGCCTTTTCATCCTTGTAGGGTGATGTTGGGCTCGCTATGGGCAAACTGTATGGAAATGATTTCAGTCAAACTACTATTTCTCGCTTTGAAGCCTTGAACCTCAGCTTTAAGAACATGTGCAAGTTAAAACCACTTTTGGAAAAGTGGCTCAATGATGCAGGTAAATAGTTGTCTAGATTTTCTTATAATTTCACAGCCGATTTGTAGAATTCAGAAATGCTTCTTGTTAAATTTCCTGGCGATATAAGTACACTTTGCAGGAATATAGATGACTTAACACATTATAAAAAAAATTTGAGGAATAGGATTTATAAGTAAAACTTGACAGATTTTTCAAAAGAAATCTTTTACAGTATGGGCTAAAGCTTGAATCTTTTCTATATCTGTGTCAGAAATTTATAATTGTTTTCTGTTAAAAAAATAACCTCATAAGCATTGCATAAAATTTTATATTCCTAAGACAAGTGTTAAAGAACATTTGAACAAAAATACAGAGTGGTGAACATCAAACTTGTATCCTAAATACAAGGATATAATTTAGGCTATGTGCAGTTTACTACAGTGTAAACCCATATGATTAATAAATAAGATGTTAGTATATTTAGTTGTGGGAAGTTCATTTCATTCATTGGAATACTGAGTCTCCTTTCTTTTTGCAAGTGGGTGAGCTGCTTGTTTTGTTGGAATGGATTTGAACATGTCAGCTTCAGGTCCCAAACAATAGAGCTGTGGAATGTATGTATGTTTTTAGGCAAGCACAATGAATGAAATTTACTTTCTTTAAATTAACTTACTGCTTACATTACACGAATTACCATAATTAACTTGACCTTTTTGCAGAAAACCTCTCATCTGATTCAGCTCTTTCCAGCCCAAGTGCCCTGAATTCTCCAGGGCTGGGGATTGAGGGCTTGAACCGTAGGAGGAAGAAACGCACCAGCATAGAGACCAACATACGTGTGGCCTTAGAGAAGAGTTTCCTGGAGGTCAGTGTTTGCACTGTATTATTCTGGGACATCAGGTTTTATTGCAATCATTTAAAAAAAAAGTTGATGAAATGGGGTGAAAATTTTCATACATATAAACTGTTTTAGGGCTTGTGTAGAAAATAGGTCACACACAAACAAGTGTATCTTTGCATTTAAATGTCATTTGCATTTTTTATATTTTTATTTAATAAATAATTGATGATTAAAGAGAAAGAGCCTAAAAGGAAATTTGTTGGATTTCTTGCTTTCTAGCTAATCTAAATCACACGGCACAGCTGATTTTCCCCCCTCGCTTCAAAATACTGCTTTTTTCAGCTCCCAGGAGGCTTCCCTAGGTACATACTAGGCCAAAAGTGGGGTGCGGAGGGTTTTTTTTTGCTGCGCAGCCCTCCTATGTCCCATTTTTGCTCCCAGGAGGCTTCCCTTAGGCCCACTAGGCCAAAAAACAGTACAACATAAAATAGTCTAAATGGTTTTACCTTTCAGAACCAAAAGCCTACCTCGGAAGAGATAACCATGATAGCTGACCAGCTGAAAATGGAAAAAGAGGTGATCCGTGTTTGGTTCTGTAATCGGCGCCAGAAGGAAAAAAGAATTAACCCACCTAGTAGTGGTGGAACCAGCAACTCACCCATCAAAGCAATGTTCCCTTGTCCAACTTCATTGGTAAAAATTCAAAACTATTTAAATTGTGTTAGATTGGGAGATAATGTAACAATTCTTGCTAAGAATAGCAAGAGTATGATATTAATATTTTTGCTCCTAAGGTTCTCAAAATCTGATTCTTACGATGAGTAGACATTAATGTACACAGTTCAGTTATTATTTCTATTTTGTAGTTGGTAAAGAAAGATGCTGAATACTGTATTTAACTCTCCCTTTGTAATATTTTAATGTATTTCCTTTCATTATTCCAAACACATAAAAATATTAATGATTTTCTAAAGATAATGAAAGACACCTTGTTATGATGAAAATCTAAAGCTATATAGAAGTTTTCATTTGACTCCTTTATTCACTAGTGACATCCTTTTTTTAAGATTTCAGCTATTTTCTTTTGATCTATAGGTGGCAACTACACCAAGCCTTGTGACAAGCAGTGCAGCTACCGCTTTGACTGTCAACCCTGGGCTCCCTTTAACCAGCGCAACTGTAACTAGTTTGGCAGTCTCAGGTAAAAGGCCATTTAGACTGCAACTGCATATACACACTTGTTCTTTTAAAGATAAAATTATCATTGTATCTATACACTTTATCCTATCAGAGTACTTTACGAAGATGTATGTATGTATGTATGTATATACTGTGTTTCTCCAACAATACAGCCTCCACCAATAGGAAGGCCCAGCATGATTTCTAGGCATGAGGTGAAATTAAGCCCCACCCCCAAAATTTAGGCCTATCTAAACCATGCTTTTCCCCGCCATTTCTCACATGGTTCGTTAGAACTACACAAGGTGAAGAGAAATAGGAGGAAGGGCGGGGTGGGTAGTGAGAAAACTTGCCTTTAGGAGTGCCCTGCAGGAAGCCTAGGCTAGAATACCCCGATCTACTGATAGAACATCAGCCGATAGAAGCTCCCCGAAGGCAGAGTCCCCAGCCGCTTCAGGACGAGGCATGGCTGCCCATGTCCCCTCGCCATTAGGCAGTGTCTTTCGGGCGATGGAAGCTCCCCAAGTGCAGTCACCAGCCACTTCGATCGGCTGGTAGAAGCAGCCTCAGGGCGAGCGCACACACACACTCCCCTCGCTGCGGGGAGTTTTCCTCGGCCGATAGAAGCGGCCTCGTGGCGAGGGGAGTATGTGTGAGAGCTCGCCCCGAAGCCACTTCTACCGGCCAATCAAAGTGGCTGGTGACTGCACTTGGGGAGCTTCCATTGCCCAGAAGACACTGCCTAATGGCGAGGGTACACGGGCAGCCATGCCACGCCCTGAAGTGGCTGGGGACTCTGCCTTCGGGGAGCTTTCGTCGGCCAATAGAAGCGGCCTCGCGGCGAGGTACGTGCATATGGGCTGCTCTAGGTGGGGGAGGAAATTAAGTCACCCTGAAAAGACGGCCAAGCCATTTTTTCAGGGGTCAAAAAAACATAAGGCCCAGCCTTATTTTGTGAGAAACACGGTACATACATGTAAACATGCACACATAACCATCATAATAAACCATAGTGCTTAAAAATAATAAATACAAATATTAAAATAATGTTCATTTAGTACACAGTAAAATAATAGAAATATTTAAATGCAACCAAATTCTGAAGTAGTAGTTATACAAAAACGTTGGAGTGAATAAAAATATCTGCAATGGGTTTTTTTTAAAAAAAGAACAGAAAATGGAACCAAGCCAAACTTCTTTCAAGAAACAGTTCCATAATTAGTTATTAAGTCACTGGATCACTATGTTACCCACATCCAGATTTACTGCTTTTTAAAAGGACTGATACAAACCAAGTTTTGTATCCTTGTTTCAATTTGTAAACTCTTTATAAACTACTGCTTTCATATGTAACTCTTAACATGGATTGAGGAAAAATTGAATGACATCTGATAATAATATATTTAATAAATATTTACAGTTCATCTGAATGCAGCACCAAAAATAACGTATTCTGCAACTCTTGATTAAGCTAAAGTTTGAAGGAGTTGTTTTATAAACAGTCAAGCTCTTGAGCCAAATACAGAATTACTATTTGAGATATAAAAATGCTTACATTTGTAAAAAGGCAGAAGTCTTTATTGTATGGACTACTTTGTCAGTAGAGAAAAATATGATACAACAAAAGATTATTTTTTACTGAGAGACTTTAGAAGAAATAATAATTCTGATATAAAATTTAAAGCATCTATATTATAGTTTGTTTCTTAATACTGTTCTTATATCAGAACTTTGTTTTTTAATATTGTGATTGCCTAAGGTTTGCAGGCATATTGAGTTTTTTTCAAAAATTACTGTTAGTCTTTAATTGTTAATGCTAAATTTTCATGAAAAAGAACTACTGAGTGTGTAAGGGAAGAGAGACTAAAATCAGTTCAGGTTATATGCACACTTGACTTTCTATAGTTGTGTTTCAAATTGACTTCTATAAAAGGATTTTCAACCATTAGGTTCAAGTTTTAATTCACCTTCGGTGGTTTATACTTTTATATGGAAATGCTTTAAATGAAGCAACAGAAATATTGAATAGAGTGATACATAATTCCGATCAGAGATCAATGCTAATTATTCTGTAGCCAAAATGGTTGCATTAACAGAAAGGAGATAACCGACAGGTTTGGGGAGCTCCAAGATTTACAGAAGTACCAAAAAATATCTTTATGAAAAATAAAAACCAAAATTAATAAAATAGAAACAGATTTACAAAAGGGGTATTTTCATTACCACTCAATATCTGACTGACTTGCAAAGGGATCAGGAGTACTACAATGATGTCTCTTGTTTTGGACGAAGAATTAAGTTTATCATATTGAGATTGAGGAGGCAGTTGATAGCATCAGGACAGTGCATGTGAATCCTGATAAAAAGTTAGTGTTCAGTTGAATTGGGGGTCTTACACATGCCAAATGCCATATATTGATATTTTTAAACATCTATGAATGGCCAGGCATAGTTGGAAATAATATTTTGTATTTCTCAAAAGAAATAGACTGATTTTGAAATTGGTAGAATCCATCTGTGAAGTTTTTTTTAGCACTATCATAACCTTTAACATCATTAAACAGGACAATTGTTAAGCAAGGATGCTTGTATCTGCCCTGAGTTAACCACTATTTAAACTCAAATTCTTGCCCTTTTGTTCCATCAGAGTAAAATTGGCTCCATTTAACAATATCTCATCCAGGTACTTCAAACATTGTATCATTTTAGGCACCACAGAAACCATACCCAACAATACCGCAACCGTAATTTCTACGGCACCTCCAGCTTCCTCTGCAGTAACATCACCCTCCCTAAGTCCTTCTCCTTCTGCCTCTGCTTCCACATCTGAGGCATCCAGTGCCAGTGAGACAACCACAACACAGACAACCTCCACCCCCATGACCTCGGCACTTGGGACCAGCCAAGTGATGGTAACTGCTTCTGGTTTGCAAACTGCAGCAGCAGCAGCTGCACTACAAGGAGCTGCACAGTTGCCTGCAAATGCAAGTCTGGCTGCTATGGCAGCTGCAGCAGGATTGAATCCAGGCTTGATGGCATCTTCCCAATTTGCAGCTGGGTGAGTATCTTTAAAACTTGTTTTTGAAGTATCAAGTTAAGTGAGGGAACCTAGGGGGTCATCACATTTCAGTACCTTTATCTAGAATATACGGTGATTAAAAATCTATATATCTTGTGAATTCTCTGTCAATGAAAGTATAACAGTATAATATTTGACACTTTTCCTAGTTTAGAAATATTTAGTGGATCCTTGTTCGTATTTCTATCACTTTCATCCTTAAATATTATGGTTATAGTGTTATAGTGTGTTATTGTATAACCGAAATTAAATAGTTTATTTAATAGATCTACTTCAGTTCTTATAGTTAAAATTCTAAAAAAAGATACATTTTGCCTGTAAATTAACAACTCACCTGTTTTTTGGGTTTTTGGGGGGTTTTTTTGTTTTGCGTTTTGGATTTGCAGAGGTGCCTTACTTAGTCTCAATCCTGGGACGCTAGGTGGTGCTCTCAGCCCAGCTCTGATGAGCAACAGTACATTGGCAACTATTCAAGGTTAGTTACTACTACACTATGCTTCTGTCCCTGTTAAGTTTCTATTCTCTTTTTTCTGTTTTGAAAGCAGCAGATATTATGTATAATTAAAATGTAAAGGCCTAGTTGAAATAATTTAACAGGGATTTATTTCTAAAGAAACATACATGAATAAATATGTCTATTTCAGTCCATCTTAGAATGAAAGGCAACAAGTAATATACATGTTCACATATTAAATTACATAACAAATCTTTGACATCTTAATTGCCTTGTAACTTGCTTCAGATTCAGAGAACTTGTTAGGATTAGCGGTAAAATCAAAATACTTATTTACAAAATTTCTCCAAAATGTTGGAAATATTGGGAAAATGTTACTTTCTCTTTATTTCTCTCTATCTAGAGGTGGCCAAGATTCCTAATTGTCCTGTCTCTTAATTTCCTTACAACAGCCCTGTTTGGAAGGTTGGGCTGAGTGCGAGTGATTGACCCAAGGTCACCCAGCCAGCTTTCATGCCTAAGAGATGCCTGGAATCACATTCTTGTGGTTTCTGCACCAGCATCTTAATTGCTATATCAAACTGGCTTCCACTTGTGAAATGAACAGTCACTGAAAATCCCCCTTCCATTTGAATATTGTACATATTTAGAAGTATATTTAAGTCTTTTGCAGTGGTGGGATTCAATTATTTTTACTACCGGTTCTGTGGGCGTGGCTTGGTGGATGTTGCTTGGCTTGGTGTGCATGCCAGGGGAAAGATACTGCAAAATCCCATTCCCTCCCCACCCCACTCACCTGCTTTCCAGCTCCGTTCTCCTGTGCAGGGCAACAAAAGAAGACCCAGCCAATCAGCTGGGACTCGGGAGGCAGAGAATAGATGGGGGCGGGGCCAGTCAGAGGTGGTATTTGCCAGTTCTCTGAACTATACAAAACTTTGGCTACCTGTTCTCCAGAACTGGTCAGAACCTGCTGAATACCACCTCTGGTCTATTGGTTTCTGAAGCTACAGATTAAAGATACTTGAGCCCCTTATTGAATAGGAAATTCAGATCTCATTATGTGGTCAATTAGGCAGAATTGGCAAGCAAAATGCCCACACTGTGGCAAGGTATAAAAAAGGGTTTCTCATCTGCCAGCTACTTGATTAGAGTCTAAGGATTCTTTGCCTCAATTTTGGAAGTCATCCCAAGTTTTTAGGAATACAATTTTGTGATTTTCATGATCTTTCATAATAAATCTAATGAACCTTCATTTTTCATATCTGCATTTCCTATTCAGCAAAAATTGTAAATTTCCCTAAGTGGAAAATGAATTTGCAATGTAAATCATTAAAGAGACTTAAAAGAAAGTTATTTTTTTTCTTTTGTTTGCCTGTTGTATTTTGGGGAGGTGGCTGTGTTAATGCTGACATTTATGATTCATCTTTTTAGCTCTTGCATCTGGTGGATCTCTTCCAATAACATCGCTGGATGCAACTGGGAACTTGGTATTTGCCAATGCTGGAGGTACGCCCAACATCGTAACTGCCCCACTGTTCTTGAACCCTCAGAATCTTTCACTGCTCACCAGCAATCCAGTTAGTTTGGTCTCTGCTGCTGCAGCTTCCGCAGGGGCCTCTGGACCAGTTGCCAGCCTTCATGCCACCTCCACCTCAGCGGAATCTATCCAGAACTCTCTCTTTACAGTGGCTTCAGCCAGTGGGGCCGCTTCCACCACCACTACGGCCTCCAAGGCACAGTGAGTTGGGCTGAGCTGTGCTAACCCTAGCCTGTTTCATGCTGCAGTGAGATTGGCTGGCAGCTGGGCTTCTGAACTGCAAATTATGTTTGGCTTCCTCATGCCGTCTTACTGGGGACAAGGGAGAGAAGGAAAAAATATTAGAAACAGGAAAAAAAACAGCAAGAAAAAGAAGGATTTAAAACTGGGACAAACAATTGCCTAATTTTATAAGAAACATTGTCTTTTCAGGATTGCTTCATTGATTGGAGAACTTTCTAACCAAAAATGTAAAAAAAAAAAAAGGACTACTTATCATTTCCAGCAGTCTCAGTGACAAGTTAAGGTGGGTTATCAACTCAAACATAGGAATGGGTTTTCTTTTTTCTTTTCTTTTTGATCTGAATATCTTTTTTTAATTATCTTTTATTGGTCTGTTGTACAGGCCATAATGTCATACAAGATGTTTATAATCTTATCAATCGTGTTGGGGGTTCCTTTCTTAACTGGTACAGTTTAGGCAGGCCTGTATTACTTGTGTATCTCTTTATGATTATTATTATTTTTTATATAAAGAGAAAAAGAAAGTTTGGACACATTTCTCTTTGCTCCTGGAACAGTTTCGGTGAGCTCCCGTGCCACTCAGACGGAAGAAGGAAGGCAGGGAAGCATGTGAATCACAAATATTCTTTATAATTTTCTTGGTGGAGTGTTTTATGAGATTCTCTCAGAAGTGTTGGCAGTTAAAATAAACATACTGAGGGTCATGTGCAAAGATAGTCCACACATGTGAGGTGGGAGTTTTGTTTAGACAGCAGTTTGTTCATCATATTTGGCCAAATCTAGCCCTCATTTGCACGTCTTTGGCTCTTGTTGATCCAAGGGGGGAAAGGATTTGGCCTGCAAAGTCTGTTTCAACTATTGTAGCAACGATTCTCTTATTTCCTAATTGCATGGAAATTGCCACTTTACAATTTTGGAAATACTTCTGTTATTTACTTTCTCAGGAGACTGCCTATATTGCTGATAACTCATATACATCCACTAAATCTTCCCACCAGCTGTTTGGCATAGGATTTTTTTTAAAAAAACCTGCATTGGCTCATTTTTAGACATTATTTTCCCTGGAACTCTTGCTTTTATGATTGTATTAAAATTATTTTGAATTTAAAACATTTCTGTTCCAGAAGTAAACTGGGTCACATGAACAGGAAGTACCATTTATGCCAACACAGCTATAACAAGCAGCCTTCTAATCTTGTTCCATTGTAAACAATTTGTAATGTTTTTACCATTGCTTGCTGCTGTGGGAAATAGTGGTAAGGGATGTTTGGAAAACAGGTCAACTTGCTGTGGAATTCAATGAGCACTGGCATGTTGCATGTATTTTGCAATGTTTCATGCTATTTCTGGTTCTTGCTGCTAAATCATTCATGGCAGTAAACATGTCTACTAACACGGAAAAACTTTTCTCAAGCATCAAGTAGTATGTGCAAACAACTGCTGACAATGGATGAGAGAGAGAGAGAGAGAGAGAGAGAGAGAGAGGAAAGGAGACAGAAAAATGTTATTATGACCTGAACTCATATTTTCTCAGATGCAGAAAAGTTGGATCAGTACTGCATAGCTGGCACTTTCCTATCCCCTTAAGACAAATTGGAAAATGTCAGAACTGCTCAATGTTCCTTTCTATTACTATTTGGAATATGGGGAAGAGGGACAAGGAAGTTCCTAAGTTTATATAGCTGCAATCCATTACTTGCCCCCCACAAAAAAATATTGTCTCTCATTAGCTAATAACTGAAAGAGAGTTCATTTATAATGTCATCTCTGGCTGGTAATTCCAGTTTGCAGACATGTATTACCGTATTTGCCGGCGTATAAGACGACTTTTTTGCCCCGAAAAACATGCCTCCAAGTGGGGGGGTCGTCTTATACGCCGGTATATCCACTGCCGGCTTTCGGATGCTTGTTGGACGCAGCGAAGGCGCCTCTGGCTTCCCGGATCCCCTGCGTCGCTTCCGCTTCATCCCGCTCGCCTCGCTCCGCCCGAGGCTGCAGCCTTCCTGCTCTTCCCACGGCCCCTGGCACTCCGCCCTGCCGCTGCAGCCCCGGGGATTTCTGGAGGGCGTTTCTGGTGGTGGTGGGGGGTCGTCTTATACGCCGGGTCGTCTTATACGCCGGCAAATACGGTAACTATCAACTGGCAGAAATCTGTCTCCTCTCCATCTGCTATCATGCTGCCTGCTCTCTATTCATCTCTGAAGCTTCAACTTCCTGATTCACAAGTTATTGAAATAGAAGAAATTATTTCCAAAAACTGAAAGAGAAAAAAAACACCTTGTGAACTATTAAGCAGGGAAATGAGCAAATGTCCGTCCACCGTCTTTAATGTGTGTTTATTTTTTTTAATGTTTTATTTTTTTAAAACTAAGCTTGAACCAAAGTCAATTTCTAGCAAGCTGCTGTACTAATGGACTAGTTTGTATAAGTGCAGTTCAGATGCAGAGAGGTGATAGATGCTACTGACAATTTCTTTTCATTTGTTTATTATTTTATGTAAAAATTGCTGCTTGTTTTAATCTTTTGGTGGGGAGAGGTTGATCTTTTTGTATATCCTTAGGGCAAAGTCTTAACTTGATTATTTTCTAATTTCCATGGTTCGGGGTGGGTAAATAGAATGACAATGGCAAATGCTTACTAATTTAGTTGATTCTACATTTTCCTTAGCAGTTTGGATCAGTCTAAATCCTGGGATATGCTATCTCCATGATTCTAGTCTCAGAATACAATTATAATATTTTGGGTCAAAAGTTTAATTGACTTGTAGCAACAGCATGGTGCAGTCAAAAGTAGGTAAGACAGCAGGAGAATATTCAAGATGCTGGCCTGTAGGCCATTATATTGACTAATTTCTACCAAAGGAAATATCAGTCCAGTAAATGTTTATTTTGTCCATTGAAAAAAGATTTTGCTTTTTTATACATGCACAAACACATGCATAGTTATAAAAGCAAAGAAGGAAATTGTGACTTTTGATTGTGTTTGCTCACCCATAGGCTTCAAGGAAAAGATCCTATGGATTTATGAACCAAATAAAAAATACCCATTTTATCATCATAAACATTTCAAAGAAATTCAGGGAAATTAATTTGGTTTGTCTGCCTGTAGCTGATTAGGTTCACTTTTTTTTGTTAGGTGTGAAGGTATAATATAGAGATACTCGGAATTAGCTCAGATGATTGCTATAAAACATTTATAATTATTTTAATTTGTTCATATAATGCATAAATCCAACATGCATTGTATCAATTTATTTATAAACATTTTTCAGACCTTTCCAGTCCACTCTTTCCTGTGTTGTACAAATAGCCACACTCCTAAAAGGTGTTATAATTCTTATATCAGAGAAACTGGAAATTCAGAAACAGAGAAACCAGCAATTGTTTGGTTGAATTGTAAGTTTTATGTTTAAGTGGTTTGGTTATGTATTTGATGAGTTATCAGGAGATTGTTAAAAAATTTCCAATAATACAGAAATACTGGAGTTTTAAAGGTTATCACTATTTATTATTTTGCCACCTACTTAGTTCTACTCAGTAATATGCGTGCTCCATAAATTAACATATAAACATTATTGCATAGTCTAAAATAATCATCAGCTTCCATAACATTGTAGTAGTTACAATTGATTTAAAACTTCAGCAGAATATCAGATGTGTACAATTGGAGAATCTGTAGGAATAAACAATCTGGAGAGCCAGAAAATACCTACATATTCTAGTAGTTACAACAACTTTCTGATAGTCACTGCAAATGCAGTTTATACACTCAAAAATATGTGCACTGTATACGTATCCTCTAATAACTAGAGACGATCACTTATTAATTCTATCACTTGAGTTAATTATTTGTGTTAATTGTGTTCCAATCTCTCAGTGTTCTAACATACATTACAAGTGATACTGTTCCCATGTCACAGCTAAGTTATTTTGTTGTCCTATTCATCACATTCAGTGAGATACAATTTTATAAACCAAAATTTGTAATATTATTCTGGGACCTTATTACCTTATTTTACATCTTCTTTTATCTGGTATCCTTCACAGAATTGGATCACCTTTCCCTTTGCCTCTATAGAAATAACACTGGCTGGGTATGATGGCAATTTCAATCCAGTGCATCCGGCTAATTTCAGAGATGATTGCCATAAAAAATTATTGTTGATTCATGGTAGAACAGGTAGATTTCTATCCTAGTTTCTCCAGTCTTTGCAGCTGCAGATAATTTCTGAAAATTGAATAATCTGGTTTCCTTTCAAATCAGGAAGAAATTTTTGATTATGCTTAATTAAGCTAAAATGCCAGAATGTTAAAGGTGTAAAAAGAATGACATCTTGAGAAAACAAATCTCTTGACAAATATTTTAAGACAACAATCTGAGGTTGATCTAACTTGTGAGTATTTAAGGTCATTGTAAATACTTTCTACAGTAAGAAAGTTGTTCTGCCATCTTATAAAGTAAGAAACATACAACAGGTGTTGAAAACATTAAATCCATGAAGTTTAGAATTTCAAAATTGATTTTCCATTTTTCATTTTGATCATGTACTACAGTATGGAGTTCATGTACAGTGTTCATATATGCGACAAGCATCATATGAATATTTTTTAACAGTTTACTTTTGAAGAGCATAACATTCATGCTTTTCTGACGTATTATAGCTCCTTTTTGTTCCGGGCTTGAATGTTATGTAAGACTATTAAATGTAGACATCCTCCCCCCCCCCTTTTTTTCCCTTTCCTTTGGAAATGTATAAATCTATCTATATAAATAGCAACTTTATTGAGACACAACTATTACAACCATGCCAATAGACTGCCCAGATATATTGTTGCTTCCAGAATGTCTTCTAGGCCACCTGCAGTAGCTCAACCAACACTGAATTATATTGTTCAAATTAAAGAGCTAGATCTCCAAAAACTTCATATTAGCTAAGTTATTACTAGTTCATATTTCATTGGTTTTATTGTAAACGTCTTCTGGCAATATGAAATATTGATTCTCTGGTCATTTGTAGCTTAATGCTTCAAAGCACCAGAAATCAAGCCAACAGGCCCCTTTGTTGAACTGTTCAAGTAACACACACAGTGAATGAGAGCCTATTACTGTTCAGTTTGTTTTAGAGACATAGATGTTTTTCTTGAATACTGATACCTTGCATCTGTAGACTGACTATATATGAAATATAGATTATATATCTCGGATATGACAGCACGGCTGTACTCTCTATACATTCAGTGGTTTTATTTGATGCCGACAGAAATTGGAAATTGATCAATTAACACCCCCAGTATCTAACTAACCATTAAGAGAATGGACCACATTCATGTTAACTTTAGGTAACGTGATATGGTAATATATAAAGGCAAGATGGAGAGGAAGAATTCCTTTAGAGGAAAGAGCAATTCCAGGTTATATCTTATTTCTAGCAACAGAGATCGGACCCAAATCCTTAGAAACATTACATGCTGGCCCAAGGATGTAGGCATACTTTGTGGAGGATACCATGCTTTTGAGAATTTTAATGTATTGAATAAGGATTCGGGTGGCCAGTGAGGGAAACACAGCAGTCTTTCTCTGCTGCTGAGAACCAATGCAATCCCAAAGGTTGGATCCATTTTTTTCAGTTTCAGTTGCCAGAGGAAATACTGTTGTGCCCTGACTTTATCGATAAAATGCATTAGATTGCATTGGAATAAATGTAAATTTTATCTATATACTAGATAATTCAGCCAAAGATGGTATATGTCATTTGAAGATATAAGGAAGAGCAGAGGAATTGCAGAATTTCCAATGCTAGAAACCAGGCTTAAAATCCATCGTTGCCTTATTCTCCTTAACTTTTCTTTTCACTTGTACGTGATGGAAGGTTTATTTAGATAGTCATTTTTATCTGGGATCTTTATCTTTTGCATCTGTCCTGATTGATATTTTACAACAAACAAGACTCTAGAACAATGTAAACTGGCTCTTTGATAAAAGATATACCCTGTATTTAATTCACTATCACTTTGATTGGCAATATTTTTTTATGTTTAATTCTGACAGCAAGATATAATTAAACATATATTTGAGAGAAAAACATATTGCCAACGTGCTCTTAATTTTTCAATCCAAGCCAAAATTATAGACTGGAAAATTTTGCCAGTGAGTAAATGTGGGTGTGCAGCTAGCAGTGGACAGACTCTGAAATGTGTTTGGGATTTGGGAGGCAAAGGGGATGGAACAGGACCCTGTTTTACTGAGATCACTGAAAGATGGGATTTGAGTAAAATGAAATGTTACGGGGAACAAAGTAGTAAGCAGAGCATATATTTCTAGAACCATTTTTTCCACACAAAATGAAGCTTGCAAATGGTGAACTCTGAAAAATATTGTTGAGGTCTTGCTTTAGGAAACTCTCCCCCCTCCCCCTCCCCCCCCCAAATTAATGTAGCAGTGGTTTCACATGAAAATAATGCAGTTCCCCTTATGATTTCAAATGCTGAGAAAATTTGCATAATAAATATGTAAAATCTATATCTGACCTAGTAATCATTTGGCAGACTGAGGGGATTTGATCTGGCCATCTTGTTTTGGGAGCTACCCAACTATATTGGTAGTGCAAAAGTAAATACATGACTTTCTATTTTGTTACTTAAATTGAATAATAAACCATGTTAATAGACACATTTTTCAGTTACATTTGGTTAAAATAATAATGTACGCATTAAATTCCAATTCTCAATAATATGATTCTCATACTATTGATGGACCAAATATGCCATGACAGAATATTCTTGACCTGACTTTT